AACGACCCCGTGTCGTCAGGCGTGGCGGCGGCTACCGTTGCTGGCCGAGGCAGGGTACGTGAGAGGACAGGCAGCGCCCCCCCGCCCCAGGCAACGCCGGGCCACGCCTGGACCCCACACAGACCGCCGGGGCAGGGAAGAGCTCAAACGGTGCCCAGGGCCCAGCGCCGGGCCCGGGTCCTGACGCTGGAAACCGGCTCCGGCCAGCGGAGAGGCCGCGGGGCCGTGAAGACAGCGCGGGAGGGCTCGAGCTTGACAGCAGCGACGGCCACGTCTACAGCACAGTAAGCCCGGCTGAGACATCCGGGGAACGGCGGCGCTCCGCCCCGGCACAGGCGCGGGTAACGCGGCCACCCCAGCAGCCTCTGCCCCCGGGTCACCCCCACGGAGACCCGGGCCCTGGCCGGAGTCTAGGCCCCGTGCTGCCCCCTGGTGGCCCCACTCTGGTCCACTTCCTCCCTGCACGGCGGGGGCAGCCCCTCCACCACGCCTCCTTCACCCACAGGATGCGGAGGGTGCCAAGGGGTTTCACATGCCAAATCCTCTCCAAAAGGTTGAAGGTTCTTTCTATTCTTTTCCCCTGGGATGTTCTTGCTAGCAAGGCTGTTTGGAATCCATTGGCTTGCCACTTCTGTACCCAAAGGACTGGTTAGAAAGCCATGAACCACGAGCAGAATACAGACTTCCCTGTGCCCTGGTCGTCCTCCCCCTCTTCGCTGTCCTGAGGATGGCCACTGCCCTGCTTCAGCGTAGACCAGGAGACCCGGGGATAGCACTGTTTCCGTGGCAACCAAAAAGCACAGCTTGATCCAAGACGAGATGAATTGCTTGGACTTTCATACTTCTCTAAGGAGGGGTAAGTAATCACTCTCAGCTCGTCTTCATCCTTTTGTAAACACAACTTGGAGATGAAAACACTGCAAACGCCGCTAACCAAGCCTCTGCCGGGCTTCGCCATCCCTGCGTGTTCTTTTGGAGAATCTAATTGCCACAGGGACAGGTCCCTAGGGGAGCAGTTCTGTTTGAAGGCTGAAGTGAGGGTCTCTGGGCAGCAGGGCAGCAGGGGGCACAGCGTCTGCGGGGAGAGAATGAAGAGAAGGCAGGAGGGCGCACAGGCAGCCAGGGCTGGGTCTGCCGCTTCCAGAGACTTCATTATGGTTCCACAGGCTGGCGCAGCCACACCGTGTCTTGGCTGGACAGGGCAATTAGCAGCTCCCCGAGATCCTAATGAGTAGTTTTCTTGAGGTTTAAGCTTCCTGCAGAGTTTCCCAAGGGAACTTGTTCCTGGAAGCCTGTTCCTCAGAAGCGCCCTCCCCTGGGTGCACCGAGTCCAGGGCTGCTGCTTTCGGCCAGCTGGTTGGAAGCTGAGGCTTCTAGGTCCAGGACCAGCTTGTAATTGTCACCAGCAGCACCGACTGGCTCTAATGCCAACATCCTTTTTCTGGGCCAGCTTGGAGGCTCCTTCTGAGGGCCTCTCTCTGCACAGACCTGCCTGCTTTGCCCTTCACTCACCTGCAGATGGATACAAACCTCAAGGCAGCATTTGGAACTGCTCATGTTCCCAAACTCTGCCCTAGATCAGCCTCTGAGCCAACCTGACCACCCCTCGTGGAACTCCCAACTTGAGAAGAAGGGAAATCTGCTCTTGGGATACAGTAGTAAGTGAAATAGACATGGAAGCTGAGAGGAGCCAAGTCTGACTGATGGAGAAAAAGGTCCCCTCACAGCACACCTGTGACCTGAGACAGCCTGACCAGAAGGAACCCACACTCGTCTACACGTAGGAACAGTGAGTCCTGGTGAGTTGTCACCTGACTCAAGCCACACAGCTCCACTTAGTCCTCACCTGAGATCCAGCAGAATTCAAGATGCGCCGTCAGTTATGTGTTTTCTTTTGTCTATGACACAATCTGTCCCTCAGGAGGCCCAATCTCCTGAGGAGTAGCCAGAAAGATGTGTTTCTTTCATCTGGAGATGACAAAGGAATGGAGAGACCTTCTCCTCTGGGATGCATTGTGCCTCCACTCCGGGAGGCACAGTCCCGGCCTGCATATTTTAGTGTGGCCTGCAAGGGGTGTCTGGTCCTTGAGTCAGCTCACCCCCAGCATAATGCTCAGCCACACGATTTCTTTCAAGGTCCCAATTCCTGCACCCAGAGTTCTTGCTCCTCCAACTCTTCCTGCCCTACCTGTGGGACCAGCTCCATCCCGACCTTCAGGACCCTCTACTCTAGGATTATTTGGGTTGCAAATTACTATTATTTGGGTTGGCTCATATTATTGGAGGTTCTGAGACGGCCTCCAGATAGAAGAGTTTACAGCCTTTGACAAGTGGGGCTCACTCATGAATCTGGGGGCTGTCATTCTAGAGGAGCAGTTCTCATTAAGAGGTGTCCCCCCCCCCAGGGCAGCGAACACTGACACTCTGTCATGGTTGTGGCAGGATGCCCTAGAGATGCTATAAGCATTCTGCAAAGCACGGGGCACCACTCCTTCCATCCCTGTAAGGAACGGACCAGCCCAAATGTCCACAGAGCAAAATCCAAAGTTGAGAAGCTCGGCCCTACACGGGCTCCTGTCACCCCGACTCCAGTGACACACAGCCTCTAAAGCTTGGTCCAGCTGAAGGAAAACTTGGTGGGCTCATCTTGAGTCTGTACTGATAAGCAGACCTATCAGGTATGGCCGGAGAGGCGACTTATCTAACGCAGGCCCGACTTGTTGTGCTCCATGCAACAGACCCCAGATAACGGAGGTTAAAAGGCAAACACTGTCCCTGCTCCTCTGCTTCCCAACCCTGTCAGGTACAGTTATCTCCTGCCTTATCTTCAGTGCCTTCCGGGGACCATTAAGTCTGGCATGTTCATGTTCGCTTTCACCCTGTTTTGACTTGTTGGTTTATTTGTCTCTGTTTCCCAAAAGACTTTGACCTATATGGATCAAAAGTGGGTCTTAGCTGGGTGTGGTGGTGCACGGCTGTAATCCCAGCACTCAGGAGGCAGAGGCAGGCAGATCTCTGTGAGTTTGAGGCCAGCCTGGTCTGCAGAGCGAGTCCAGGACAGCCAGGCTACACAGAGAAACCAACCTTGTCTCAAAAAAAGCAAAAACAAAAAGTGTGTCTTCCTTACCCATCAGTGATGCTACCGACCAGTGTTCCAGTGACATCAGCACATGCATCCCACCCCCTGGTCCTCTCCAACAGCAGGCTTTCCCCTGATGAGCGGGTGTGTAGAAATGGTCCACACCACCCCATGTCAGTGACTCAGTGATTTCCAGCTGGCACAGGAGCTGGGTTGGAGGGCCTACTCTGCCACAGCTGGAGCCTCAGTGGGTGACTCCAGCCTAAAGGCTTCTCCACGCCATCTCTCCAGAGGGCATTCCTCAGTGTCAGGCCAGAGCTCAGCAAAGGTCCCGGGAGATGTGAGCAGGAGCGAGAGCCAGTGAAGACGTGGCAATTGCTGGTTATCATGCCAGGGCCACCCTGGGGTCCAGGAGGCTCACCAAGGGCCATATTGAGGGGGCAAAGGCTAGAACACTTCCCACATGAGGTGCCCCCTGTGAAACCAGAAAAGAAGAAACTGATGGTCACATCTGTAAGGAGCCTCATCCGGCCTGGCAGAGTAACTGCACATCTGTAACAGACAAGTGTGTAAATAAGAAAAAGTGTCAGCCTACTGCATTTAGCCAACTGACAGAAGAGTTACGTGAAAAATGATTTCACTAAAGTAGCGTTCACAACGATCAAATACTATGAATGAAGTCTCTGTTAGGAGAAAGCTTACTCTCGTTTTCACAGGAATGGCTGCCCCTCCACAGAAGGCTGTGACACACAACTAATCGGCTGCATCTCTCTCCCTTAGATGTTGCATTCTCTCTCTGAGAATTATTCTCGGCATCACACCCCAGCCTTCTCTTACCTATTGATCAAAGTTGACGAGGGGCCTGCCATGCAGCTCCTCGTCGGCACTGTTATGCACGGACTGGCGTGTCTGAACACTTTGTCTCAGATGGCGGCACTGCTTTAGGAGTGGACCGTGCTGGTGGAAGCAGCTCGCCGGTTGGCAGGGCATCAGGGCACAGCTCTTTCTGGTCCTGTCTGCGCTCTCTGCTCCTTGCTTGCCACCAAGCTGTGAGAGCCCCAGGCGCGTGCTCCTTTGCCATGCCTTCCCTGTCCAAAACTTCTGAAACTGTGAGCAAAACAAACCTTCCCTCTTTAAGTTGTCTGTCACAGCCATGAGAAAAGAGCCCGATGTACTGTTTTTGCCTAAATTCCACTATTACACCATCTGTGCAAAACTCAGGGTTTTAGTGTTTTTAAATATGTGCATATGTTCTGCCCAGTTCACGAACCCCAAAAGACCAGGAATAAACAGACTCCGCTGTAAATATATGAGGGTCTTTTTATTGTAAATTACAAGCTGCAGCTTGGGCCCACCCCACCCCCCTGAAGCGGTGGGAGCTGAGCGTGCCATCCCCAGGTTAGTTTGGGTGATTTAAAGATTCTGGTCCCTCCCAGCATACCCAAGGCAGGGGCGATTCCTGCCTGGCAAGCATCTATTGGTCAAAATGCTACATTTTTTTTTAAATTTTGTATTTAACTTTTATTAATTACACTTTATTCATTTTGTATCCCCCCATAAGCCCCTTCCTCCTCCCCTTCAGGTCCCATCCTCCCTCCTCCCTTTCTGCATGCATGCTCCTCCCCAAGTCCAAAATGCTACATTTTTAATTGATTGGCTATTGGAAGGTCCCCCATGTCCCTCCCTAGAGGGATGGGCCAGTTTCCTAGCAACTTTATCTCTAGTGGGTGGGGAAAGAATGCAATAAGTCGGTCCTTCCCCTCAGGGCTTTCCTGGACTTCCCCACCCACCTAGTTCAGGCCTTAATTAGTAGTAGCTGCTAATTTTTAATCTTTTGGTCTCTCACATACATATACTTCTTTCTTTCTTTTCTTCCTTCTTTTTTCCTTCCTTCCTTCCCTCCCTCCCTCCCTCCCTCCTTTCTTTCTTTCTTCTTTCTTTCTTCTTTCTTTCTTTCTTTCTTTCTTTCTTTCTGAAAATAAAGTTGAAGTCCCAAGAAAGCTGAAATGTCAGGCCCTTTTCCAAAATCTGACTTATAATAGAAAGGGAAACTGACTGTGTCAGGGAATTCTGTCGTTGTGGAGTGTTTGAAAAGGAAATATCTGTAGGCAAGAGTATCCTGTGTGGCCTCTCGTAAGGAAGAGACTGTCTGCTTGACACGGTTTCCTCCGGAACACTCGGTTTCTCGGTGAGACGAGATAAGCATGCACAGCAAGAGGGCTGCCATCACTAAGCTCCGGCGCTCACCCAGCCTTGAGCCACAGAGTGCTTGGCATCCAACAGTCAGGGGGCTTCAGGACCTGGAGCTATGCCTGTGCCTGTGCCCGTTCACGTGTGTGCGTGTGTGTTACAGTGCTCACATGTGCATGTATGTATAGGTACCACCCACATGTGTGCACATGTATGTGCAGGCAGAGGTGATACCAGACATCTTCTGCTATTGTTCTTCATCTTATCCTTTTGGGGGAAGAGTCTCACACTGAACCCAGAGCTCACTGATTGGTGCCACAAGATGAGCACTGAGCTCCCAAGAGGCTTCCATTTCCAGTCCCTCAGCACCAGAGCAGGCTGGCCTCACACTCAGAGATCAGCCTGTCTCTACCACCGAGTGCTGGGATTAAAGCCAACCAACTTTACACTCAGCTTTTCTATCAGTGATGGAATCCAAACTCAGATCTTCATGCTCAGATAGAAGGGATTTTACTCACCGTCTTCCCACCCCTGGTAAATACAGCTTAACTGTTCAACAAAAGTCCTCAAAAAAAAAAAAAAAAAAAAAGACAGAGAGAAGACAGATACACCCTCAAAACATGCACTGGCTTTCTGTATCCGACACCAGGAATCCCAGACCCTGGAGCTTCATTCCTGCCTTCAAGCAAGAAACAGCGCAGCATAGGCTGAAAACGACTAGGAGGATCTGAGAACACCACGGAGGGTCAACAGACTCCGACTGGGAATGTGCAGGGTTACAGCTATTGTAGGGTGATACCTGTTACCACAGGTCACTGCACACTTCTGAGTGTGTCTGTTCAGCAGCAAGGGTAGCACTGAGGACATGACCAGGTCAAGCGCAGGGCAGCCTCTTCACCACTGTGCCAGGGAACCGCGGCAGAATGGGACGTAGAGCACACAGGTCTTTCAAATGTCGGCCTTCCAGTTTGCTTCAGTGTGGGCGAGCTCTTCAGCTGCCCTTCCCTGGAAGGCAGGGCACAGGCACTAGTGACTAGAACTGGGCTTCATGCTTAGCAAACCTTAGCAAAACAGTTATACTGCACTGTTACGCACCCACACCCAGGATTTTGAAAAAGCTTTTATTTGTGTGTGTATGTGTGTCAGCCTGTCTGTGTGTGTAAGTTTGTGCATGTTTGTGGAGGAGAACACAGAGGCAGAGAAGGGGTAGGAGATGCCTCGGAGCTAGGGTGCACTTCCCCACACCGTTTTGTGGCATGCCCAGCTTGTTCCTGGATGCCGGGACCTGAGCCCAGCACTGCGCCACAAGCACTGTCAACGCTGAGCCACCTCTTTGGACCCCAATCTCAGGGCTTTGCAAGAATTCTACGAAGAAAGTGTGAGGTCACGCTTTGTGTTGTGTGCAAGGAAACGGAGGCACGAGGTTAAGCAAGTGACTGGAGACCCACAGCCATAGGATCCGCTGCAGTGGCCTCCACCACCAGGCTCTCCCATATCTCTAGAAATGGAGATGGCTAAAAAGAGATCTCTCCCCCTGGGCTTCTTATACTTTGCAGGCAGGTTTTTCATCCTTATGTGGCAGAGCTGGTGAAAACACTGATGAAACTCAAAGAAAGAAGAAGGATACGTTATGATGTCATGTTTCTCCCTCCCTTCCTTCCGTTCTTTCTACTGTTTGAGACTGTCCCACTCAGCAGCCTAAACTGGCCGAGAAGTCATCATTGTAGAGCCCAAATTGGACGCAGACTTGAGACCATCCTCACATCCGGAGGGAGGGCTGTCGGGCTCAGCCATCACGTCAGCTCATTGGCACCAAGCTTTGCGCCACACAATAGATGGTATTACCTAGAGGCTCTTGATTACGGAGAAAGAGACAGAACCAAGACATTCCTGGGAAGGAGGAACTTTACCTTCGTGATTCACCTGCGAGTAGGAGAATGTGCTACGATTTGCATGGGAACTATCTCCTACGGGGCTTGTGTTTGTGCGCCTGCTCCCAGCTGCTGTTTAAAAAGATTATGGAACTTTAGGATGCAAGCCTCGCTGGAGGGGGTGGGCAGGCCTTGGGGCTACAGCTGGGCTCTGTTTCCTGTCCCTGGAGATGTGGGGCACCCCAGCCAAAAGCTTGCCACCATGACCTCTGTCTTCCCAACCTCTGTGGACTGCATGTCCTCAAACTCTGAGCCGGTAGCAAACCTCCCCTCTCTCAGTTACAGTGAGAAGAAAAACAACAAACTATAGAAGTCTAGCAAACCTCTCTCCTCTGTCCTTCCTGCATGGCTGGAAATACTAATTTAGAAAATGATTTTCTAGTGTTAGCAACCCGATGTTGACACCGTCTGTCCCGTAGTCCGGACTGCTTCCTGCTGTCGGGGTGGCACACAGCTGCAGCGCCAGCTCTCAGGAAGCTGCGGCAGCAGCGAAGAGAAGAGGCCAGCACAGACTGCATAAAGCAAAGGCCTTGAAAAGGAATACTTAGGCAGGAGTTGGCGTCGCACACCGTTAATCCCAGCACTCAGGAGGCAGAGACAGGAGAGCTCGGAGTTTGAAGCCATCCTGGTCTACAGAGCGGGTTCCAGGACAGCCAGAGAAATCCTGTCTTGAAAACCCAATACTACTACTACTAATAATAAAATTGAAATGATTAGAGTGAAGGTTGACCCTGTGGCCACAGTTAAATCTATCAAATACTCCACCCTGAAAAGATACATTGCATCATCCACGTCCTCTATCTCAGCAAAGCCGTTTTGCTGAAGGTGTAGCAAACGGGACCTAGGCGGCGGGGGGGGGGGGGATGAGGAGAACCGCAAGCGGGTGAAAACGTGTCGGTATACCACCTAAGCAAGTGTGAGTGTGTGAGGTTCAAAGCAGCAGGGCCAGGCGGGAGGCTGCGGCCAGCGAGGGAGGCTGGGCTCTCAGCAGTGGGAAACGACCCAGAAGCTGACATGAAAACAGGGCTTTCCACTGATAGGAGGACGGGACAGTGGAGTGCTGGAAAGAAGCTGGCAGCTAGGGTGATGTTCTCATCCACAGCAATAACCACGTAACATGCCCGATGAACACAATGCACACGCATGTGCGTGCACACACACACACACACACACACACACACACACGGGAAATATGGTGTTACATCCCTTTCAGAACCTGTCGACCTCATTACCCCATCTCCCTCTGATCTACCTGGCCCACAATCCCGCCAGTCAGCAGCGTAATTGTTATCATACTTATGTTCCTCTGAAGTCTTATGCCAGGACCCAGGGCGTTACCTGAGCGGGGCTGTGATTGGCCTCTCCAGAGATCTGTCCAGACCTTTCTGAGCCTTGTCCTGGGAAGCCAGGACTCTGCCACCTCCCTTGTCATGAGGAGGCCGGATACTGTGGCTCCTCAGACCATGCCCTACACCCAGCTAGCCAGAGACACAAAGTACATGGAAGAAGGGTATCCCCAAAAGCCCAGGAGCACCAACATTAGACAGAAGAAGAAATGGGGCTTTCTCCCATTTTGAGCTGTGAGAACAGAGGGCCTTCTCCTGGGAGTCCCAGCACGTGACCCACTCGCAGTCTGAGGTAGCCGGCCACATCCACTCTGGAGACCTTTCCAGACCCCGGAACGGCTGGATGAGAATTCACCAAGGGAGCAGTCACCACAGCCCACACCATGTTACTTGGCCTCAGTGGATGAGAACAGAGCCCCTGCTGATGTGCATAGCAGATTGCTGCCCTGAGTAAGAAAAGCAAACCTCCAGGAGAGGAGGCCTGGGGATGTCTGAGTAAGTGTGGACTCACAGATGACAGGAGGAAAGGCAGGGGATCCTGGCAGCTCGTCTTGGGCCACAGTGCCTGAGAGTCCAGCCCTGGTTGCTTGGTGTCCACATCAGTTGAAGCTGGTGGCAAAGGAGATTCTTTACGTCCTAGAAGACAGCAGGTAGAGAAAAAAGAAACAGTCAAGCCTGGAATAACCTTCAAAATCCCGACAGTTTCCACCTCCTCAGCTTTCCACAAACACCTAAAATATCACCTCCAGCCAGGGATCAAGCTTTCGACACAGGAGCCTGTGGACGACAGGTTATATTCAAACCGTAACACACACCCTTAAATACCAGGTTCAGAAGAGCAAGGGGAACGGGCAGCAGCCAGCAGAGACGGGGCCAGAGAAAGCCTCCTGTTTACCGAGAATCCACAGAGCGTGTCCTCCTCACCTGTGGTCAGGCTCCTCTTAGGTCTACTGGAAACCCTGGTGCAGCAGGCTCTGCCCACCCAAGCGCTTCAGTCATCAAGCACAGATCAGTGCTGACACCCAGTGGTCACAGAGAGGTACGGGCTTGAAGCCTGAACCTCTGTCCCCGGAAGGCACGGGTGTTCTGATGGTGGTGGGTGAGAGTCAGTCCTGCTCCCTTTGCAGAACCTGGAGGCCTGTGGCCCGAGACCCAAGAGCCCAGGCTCATGGCCTGCCAGTTTGCAAGATGGCAACAGCTATTCGAACGCTGACCTCAGACTCAGGGACACACGAGGCCATTGCTGATATGGGAGCGCTCACAGAAGGAACAAACAGCAGTATGTGCCCTTCAGAAGGCATGCTCAGCTCGGACTTCGAACCCCTGGCTCAGGATCTGGAGCCAGAGTTACACTAATCGGGTCACTTAACTCTTCCTTGTCTGAGACAGAGTGGAGGCATCTGCCCAGCAGCCTCAGGAGCGCCAAATGAGAATGCACAAAAGTGTGTTATACACTGTGAGGGGCTGCTGTGAGGGGCTGCTGACAGGGCAGGGCAGGGCAAAACAGAGCTGGGAAGAACCGCTCAGAAGCGTTGTGATCTGGAGACATGGCAAGATGACAAAGAACACACCCAGTTTCTAGGCGTGCATTTATGGCCACCATGAGCCCCACATTTTGTAGGAACATCCCCATTTCAAATACAGACCGCTTGCTCTGTCCTAGTTTTGTTCTTGGGCACTCTCTCCACTCAAGGTTTCATAAAGTTCACTTCTTGATGTGCTTGTTGGTGTTCTGCCATCCCCGTAGACACACTGATCACTTAGGACGACTCTCGTGTGTCCTGCTCCTTACAGGATCCCCGACAGAACTGGCACTCGTGAGCACTCAGCAGCCCTCATTAAGCGGCACGGAGTGGAGCCCAGTGACGGAAGTGCTGTCAGCCCGCAGGGACTGCTTTTACTCTGCAACAGCCACAGCACCTGAGCTTAAGGATACGTTTCCCATACATTCATGAGTCATGTATCAGCATTCTCCCATTTCATAGATGAGAAAAGAAAGCCTCAGAGAGGCTCAGTCATTTACCTGACACCATGTGACTAGAAAGGGGCAAAACCAGCACTCCCAGCCCAGTGCTCCTCCCCTCAACTCACTGCACCCCATCCCAGATGAAGGGCCGGAGAGCAAAGGCTGCAGCAGGTAGTTTTGAAAGCATGCCAAAGTTGTACTTTGTTCATGCGCTTCTGTGCGAGGTAAACACCCCTGCTTCAAAGCGGCTGAAGTCCTGTAACACTGTTTCCTTCAGAGGCAACACTGTTTCCTTCAGAGGCAAAGGTCTTTCTTAAGGTGCAGGTGGAGGCAGCCAGTTGAAGGCAATAGCTCCTGGTCCACCAGGTGCTGAGGAAGGGTTTGTTTCCATGAGTCAGACTGCATAGTTCAGCTGTTGCTGTTTAATGTGTGGAGTTCCCTCTGCGTGCATGCTCAGTGCCTGTGGAAAAGGCAAGGAGCCCCTGAAACTGGAGTCACAGATGGTTGTGAGTCACTGTGTGGGTGCCAGGAATCTAACCCGGGTCCTGTGGAGGAAGAACCAGCGGCTCTTAAACACTGCGCCATATCTCCAGCCCTATGGCTTTTAAACAAACACTGTGCCATATCTCCAGCCCTATGGCTGGATCTTAAGTCCTTGTCTCAAAAGTTCATGTGTTGGAAGCTTGGTTCCAAGCTGGTGGTGTTTCTGGAGGGGGTGGGAACAGAAGGTGGGGCACTGGGGGATGCCCCGAAGAAGACTGGAAACCCAGTCCTCCCTCTCCCCTCTTCCCTGCCCTCTCCCGCCACTCCTTCTACCTACCCCTCTCCTCTCCTCTTTCCTTCCCCTTTTCTTTCTCCCACTCCCCTCCCTTGTCCTCTCTTCCCCTCTCCTCTCTCTCCTCTTCACCCCTTTTCAGTCACCAAGGCTTTGCTCTACCATGCACTCTGCATTGTGACTCTGCCCAAAACCATGGGGTCAGGAACCAGAGACTAAAGAGCATGGGGTCAGGGACCAGAGACTGAAACCTCTACAACCCTGAGCCAAAATAGGATTTTTTTTCCTTTAGGTTTACTTTCTGAGGGATTCTATCACAACCCTGGAAATCTGGCTAAAACATCATACTTTGGTCTGACATAACAGAAATTCAGTTTAAGCAAATGCAGACAAAAGGTGTCTCACACAAACATGGAAAAATGAATGGCAGCTGAGCCATAGAATAAGTGAGACCAAGGGCTCCTCTGCCGGAAGATTTCATGTGCAGCCCAGTTTCCTCATGTGGTCGAGAACATGCTAGGCCTCAGCTCCTAACCACCGTCTTCCTCCTCTTACCTTCGGACGGTTCCAACCTGAAAACTCAGTAGGAAAGAACTCTGGCTGGTTCAGCTCTGTTCAGGGGCCACCTGCGAGCCAGTCAGCAGCATCAATGTAGCCTGAGTGTGTGGGCTTCCATCCCCTCCTGGGCTCTGATCCTCAGTGTCTGGCCTCCCCAGGGAAAGGGCAGTGTTGTAATCTGGCCATCAGAATCCCTGAGGTTTGGCGCCTGTTCATCCTGGTTGCCATGTTGCCTCGTCCAGTACATTCTCAACGATAGGAGGCGCTCACTCTTCATAGGTGGAAACAAACCCCTCTGAGCCCAGCAGTACGTGGGAAAGTGGAAGTGCTTCAGCCAACCTGTCCTGTTCCCGCCTGCTCCACGCTCCTCGTTTCCAGATGGCAGCTTCTCTACAGTTCCTACGCTAAGATGAGCCTACCTCCTTGCACCCAGATGGTTGGTCTGGAGAGCAAACTTGGCGGTTGGTTGCATGGTGGTGTGCAGGAGGAAATATCAGGACTGCAAACACACCTGAACAAAGCCCAGTGTCACCCAGCTGTCATTCTGTGAGCCAGAGCCTGAGGCTGCTCTGTCCTAGAAGGGGACTTTTGTATGTGCGAAGCCCATCTTTCCCGCAGAGGCACTACCACCATCTCTTCAGGGAGAAGCCGGCTCTCCTCAACACACCACTTTCATTGGCTTGGGATGGACCTTTTGAAAGGTTTGGGCTCCACTTTCATCTCTGCCTTTGTTTGGCTCTGGACAATGATGATACTAAGGAAGCAGTAGTTCCTTTCCACCAACAGGGGGCAGCACACACAAGTTATTGCTGGGTCTTAAGCTGAAAACAAATGAAAGCATTTGTCCTCCAGGACTGTGTTGAGGCTTAGGGAGTTCCCTTCTGATCAGCCAAAGGCTGAAGCTCAGGCTGGAACCTCTGCAGCAGGATGTCAGGGTCAGAAATGGATCCAGCACCCACCACTCTACATGCTGCCTATATTCCAAGCCCCTTGCGTCGGGCCCTGCTTTATTTGGTTCACAGCACTGAGAGTCAAAAAGTAGACGCCGGGGCTGGAAAGATGGCTCAGGGTCTCAGAATACGAGCTGCTCTTCTGGAGAACCAGTGCTTGAGTCCCAGCATCCACGTGGCAACTAACAACTGTCTTAACACTAGTTCCCAGAGCTGGGACGCCCTCTTCTGGCCTCTTTAGACACCGGCACTCATGTGGTGCACAGAACACCCACACATGAAAGTAAATGTAAAAGTTTTAGAGTAGATGCCAACAGATGAGTAACATTTACCAACTATTCCAAGAGACAAACAAGCAGGATGTTGGGGATGATGTCAGAGAAGGGCTCCCCAGAGCCAGGGCAGGGAGGGAGTGAGAGAGATGGCATTTACGCAACTCTGCAAAGGGAGTCAATTTTTTGAATAAGCATGGAATATTCTGAAACACTCAGTCTTCACATAGGCTAGAAGGTCAAAGGCAAGTTTGTGATGACTCTGGATATTTCCTGGGGGTTTTATACCTGTGGATCTCTGACAGGACAAGACAGTGCATAGGTTCCTCCATTTTGTATTCTTGCTGAGGCCATTTTAGGTCTAACTAGAATGTGATCTCCTTGATGGAGAATGCCACGGAAAATTACCCAACTCTAGGAACCCAAGGTCAAGATGCCACAGCTAACTTACCTTAGCTTCTGTTAAACTGTTTGCTTACACAAAACCTCCCCCTGTGGCTGCCAAGTGAGATACCAGGATGTGGTTTTTCTCTTTAAAAAATACTCACCCTAAACACTCGGCTCTACACTTGGGTCCCAAACACCTGAGTGTACCCTTCTGTGGGGTGGAAGACAGATTCAGTTAGGAATAGCCGCATGGCCATCTCTGGTGGCCCCCATAGCAGATCTCTTTGCATAGAAATGTGGGGGCCTGGAAGATCCAGAGCTTGTATGCCACATAAGTGCTGTGCTCAGGGGGCCTGGAGCCCACTCCTTCCCTCAGAGCAGCTGACAAGATCTTTGGTCCCCAGCCGGCTCACCCTTAGCTCTCTTACCTCAGTGAGCTGTGGCAGGAGTGAAAGATAAGAAGCCCAGGAAGGGCCCAGGGTGACAGGGCTACCAGAGCTCAGCTCTGTTAGACCTGCTGGTGGCTAACCAGGCCAAGGTTAGAAAGAAAGAGCTCTTTGGCTCCAGAAGGCACAGTGCCTCCTTCAGGGAGTCACCAGCCGCAGCATATCACCAGGGGAAGCCCTTCCTTTGCTGTCACCTGAACTCCCTTTCCTTGGTCAAGGTCTGGTGTGGTTGGAAAATCATGAAGAGCATGAGACTTAGTAGCATGAGACCACAGGAGAATCAGGCACCAAATCAGAAGCCTCATGGCCTGCCTCCACCCCTCTCTATAGCGACAGGCCGCTCTCCTGATTAATTTCTGGGTGCCTGTCGTTGTCTCAGATTTGCAAACAGTCTCTAGGTGTGGCAAGATGCTTTCTATTTCCTTAGAAGCACTTGCCTAGGCCTGTGGCGCCTGCAATCCTATTAGCAGGATTTGTTTTCCCTGTGTTTGTGAAATGAAGTAAAATAAAAGGCCATTCTGTCCCTGACTGTCATCATGCTATGTGGAATCGTGAGTCCTTTCTGAGCGGCAGGAGGCAGCTTCTGTCTCTGTAGTGCTGGATGGGCTAGGATGATACACTACTGGCCCCTCCAGGAACAGGCGAGTACACCTTGCCTTTAGTGAAGGAAGAATTCTGGTTAGGAGGAAGAGGTCTGTGACATGCTGAGTCACGGCCAAGAAAGTGGGCTACAGTTCCACTTATCCCAGGTAGAGAGAAGCGTTGGACACGGTTCAGCCTCTACCTGGTAACCCTGAAAAATGATTCAGATTTTCCACAAGTTTTGTGTTTTTCATTTGCAAAGTAGGGGAACAGTTAGGGCTTCATGAGGGAGGCAGCAGCATGAAGTGAAATCTTGTCGTAGGGCTGGAGTCTCGGCTGTTCTTCA